GAACAATTACTATATGTCAATTTAATAAAAGGGCCTAACAATGACTCAGAGATTACCATGAAAATTTACCTGAATGATAAATTGCACTGTACACACCCTTCTTGAGTGGTCAAGTTCAAAGAAGTGGTTTAAAAATAACTTTCTCTTTCCCTATACAATAGGATAGGTTCTGCCCATCTGTCAATGGTTATTCTTTTTTTTTTGGTGGTGGTGGTGGTACTGGTGGGGTTTGAACTTAGGGCCTCACACTTGCCAGATAGGTGCTCTATGGCTTGAGTCACTCTACCAGGCCCTCAATGGTTATTCTTTGCAAATACTATCACCTGTCCTAAGAACCCTAAACTCAAAAAATACTGTTTATTGAGTGTCTACAATGCTAAATTCACTTTGAAAACCAAGTGTAAGCAGTCTTGGGATATGTGGGAATTTGCATCCAACATTTCTATGGTTGCCTTTAAAGTGGGTAAGGAAGAATCTTTTTTTATTTGGTGGTACTAGTGACTGAACTCAGGGCTTCACATTTGCTAGGCAGGCACACTACCAGCTCTGCCCGCTCCTTTTTGTTTTGGGTATATTTGAGATAGGGTCTCGTAAACTATTTACCCAAGCTACCTTTGAACTGCAATCTTCCTGATCTCTGCCTCTTGATCTTGATTAACTAGGATTCCAAGCATGAGCCACCGATGCCAGGCAGAAGACTCCCTTGCGACAATTAAAGATTTGTTAAGAAATCCACAGTAACAATATGGTGTAAGAATTTGGTGGCCAAAAACTTGGTTTCTGTACTTGTCTTTGCCACTGACTTCCTGAGATCTGGAAAGTCATGACCTTCATAGGCTTTGTTTCTTCTATAAAATAAGGAAGTTGGACAAGATAGTATTTTTCTAGGCTTTCTTTGAATTACAATACAGAAGAGAAAGCGTGCTGCTGAATGAAAAAATAAATTAAGCTTATAGCTAAGAGCATGTAACTTTGTTCACATAAATATCAACCTTTTAATTTTTCCATCAAGGAAAATGCTTGCAGGCATATGGCCTCAGGAAGCAAGGCTGACTGCTTATGCCATCAATAGCTGAGAAAGAGCAGCTAGTGAAGAAGGAAGGTCTTTAGAAAGCCTTGGATTAGAAGGAATAAAGGAGACCTGACCTTGGTTGGGCAATGAGGGATTGCAACAGAAGAGAAATATCTGGACAGTATAAACTAGGGCAGAAACACAGAACCAAGGGGAAAGGAAGATCTTCTTAGAACACAGATACCATGACATGTATGATCAGAAAGCAAAAGAGCACACTATTGTTTTCATTGCATCCTAAACTAATGGGGAGAGTGGTAAATACATGCAGCATTCTGAAAGCAACAGAAGCTAATAACACAAACATGGGGAAAGCAGAGTGCAGTGTTCCTACCTTGCAAGTTCAAATGCAACTACTAGGGAGAGGCCAAGAGAAACTCCAGGTCACAAAATTCTAGAACCTTTAGCAACTAGAGCCTAGTGGGTGCCTTATACGATTTAGAGAAAGAAAAAAAAAAAAAAAAGTCTTACCCAAAACTCTTGGATATAAGCCCCAACAGAGTCAGCAAAGATAGATCACTGCTGTCTGTGGTTTGTAAATTCCTTTTTTTCTTCCCTGTCAGAATGGCGACAAGAGCACTAAAGCTAAAGACAGGTTTTTTCCCTCCTCTCTACCTCCCTATCCTAACTTAACAACCCATCAATCAAACCAAAGGCAAAGGAGGCTCTGTCTAGTTTATTCTTTAACACTCCCTCCTCCATCTCTTCAGCTGGCAGGAAGTATGAAGCAGGAGTATTCAACAATAATTTGGGGCAACAATTACTAAAAGCTATCTCTGGTCTTTCCTAGAACTCTGGGAAAAAGCATAGTGAGCCCAGCCAGAGAGGTGTGGTGGAGCAAAAGTAGATTCCATAAAGATAAATCTACATCTTTAGCTGATAGAAAAATTTCTCAGCCACAGCCTACAATGTTTACAATGTTCAAGAGCAAGCCCTTAGATAAGTACTTTGAATATTCAAACCTCCTTCATTTGGTAAGCTAGTTATCGACTTGTGACAATTCTACCCTGTACCACCTACATCACAGGCTTTTTTGCTATTTTCAAGGGAGAAGTGGGTAAGGGGTGGGCAACTGTAGTCAAGACACTTTCCAAATTTTATGTGTTTCTCCTCTTCATTTCAGTTCCCAACTTACAGTACACAATTCTATATTACATCTAAACATTTATCTGTTTTGCTGTTTTGGTTCTGCTGATTGTCCTTACAAAGAAGGAACATTCCAAACCAGTTAGGCCACAGGCAAGCCCTTATTTCAGAGAGAAAAAAAAAAATCTTAAACAGGGTTTCAAAGGCTGTGTTATAAACTAGAGTAGTAATTATCAAACACTAAGAATCTTTATGCCCAGTACTCTGGGTTGTTTCTAAAAAGCTGCTGATCTACTGCAAATCTCCTTTTTTTTTTTGGCAGTACTGGGGCTTGAACTCAGGGCCTCACGCTTGCTAGGCAGGTGCCATACCATTTGAACCACTCCGCCAGTCCTGTTTTGTGTGGGGTATTTTCTTTCTTTTTTTTCCAGTACTGAGGTTTGAACTCAGGGCCTACACCTTAAGGCACTCCACCAGCCCTTTTTTTGTGATGAGTTTTTTCAAGACAGGGTCTCTAGAACTATTTGCCTGGCTGGCTTCAAACCTTGACCCTCCTGATCTCTGCCTCCCAGGAATAGGCAGGATTATAGGCGTGAGCCTCCGACGCCCAGAGTAACTTCTTTTTTCTCCTCCTTTTATTCTGGTGATGCTGGAGATCAAATTCAAGACTAAGCAATGTACCACTAAGCTACATTCCCAGTCCCTTTTCCTTGCTTCATCTTGCTTCTTTCCTTCCTTCCATTCCAGAAATGCTTTTTCCCTGCACAGTATTTTCATCTCCTAGCAACTTCCAAACATTTACTTTAAATAAATATTTCACTGGCCAAGGCAATATGATAAAACACCCCAGAACCAGTGTGTCCAAAGGAGTTAAGGGTACAGGGGAAGGAATTTAAAAAGCAGGCTCTTAACTACTGTAATATCAAACTGCATAGCAAATTTTCTGTTTCTCAAAGAACTTCCCAGAAATTTTATCTTTCTTCCAAACTCTGAAATACTTTACCTCTTTCACCCTTTTATCTCTCACTCTATTGCCCCAATCTCGGTCTCCCCTGGAGGCAAAGCTTACAGCAAAACTACATTATTAAGGGGCACCAAAATGTATTCTTAGCTAAATGTACAGCATCTTTCAGCCCACTTATAATCGGAAGGGAGCCACTCAACCAGTCCCTGCACCTATATGAGAGAAAATAGGTTCCATTTGCTTCTCTGTTGGAGACAATCATGGAGATTTTAGACTTAAATCCAATGTGAAGCTAAGCAACATTAATCCTTTCACCCTCAAACTACAATTGGGCTTAGCCGATTACAACATAAGTAGGTAGTCTAAATAGAAAAAAAAAAAAGGCCAGCCTCAGAAGGGCTTTTTTAACACAGGAAAGACAATGATTACGAACTGATATATGGCAATAGTTTCTTATAGCCAGATGAAGGAAGTCCTGTACTCCTAGGCCTCTTTCAGAGTATTATCCATCTGCACCCCAGAGAAAATGGCAAATCACAGCCAGCCCAGTAACCAGCTGGAACTTGACTCTACGAGGTGGACTGTAGCATCTGCCACCTAAATACAGGCAGCTGCCACTGGTGAAGGGGAGTGAGCCATTGTGTTATTAATGGAAGAAATTCACAGCACTGCTACCAGAAATGCCCAGATGTTACTAAAAGCTACAGATGTTCCAGAAGCAAAGACCAAAATACCTCCAGCAAAGAAAGCACAGCTACCACTAAAACCCAGGTATTAAGAGGGCACCACCAACCAAACATACACATCCAGGCTTTATTTATTAACACTTACATAGCAAATAAGTATTCCCTGTTGCAGCTGATGTAATTACAGAGAAATCAATTTATACTGACTACATCTGCTGGGATCAGCAGAGTACAGCAGAAAATCAAAAGGCACTGAACAGTTCATTACCAGGCCAACTGATTTGTAGGAAATTATAAGCTGCTGAAGTTTAAGGCAGCCTGAGCTGACCTTAGACTCACATCTACTCTGCCATAGTCCTACAAGTTCCATTTCCTGAGGCATCAACTAAGATCATCTTCCCACAGGAGAGACTCAGTCCCAACCCGTCCTGGAGCTACAGGCACCTATTCTTCCAAGTCAAGCAGAAGACAAGGTTATCATTATACTACTTAGCAGCTATAAAACCACCAGGAGACTTTGATTACCAATGTTGCAGGATCTGGTAAAGAGCTATACTTTCAGTGGCCAAAGAATCTTTCTGGGCCAAACTTTTCATAGCCACAACAGTAACTCATAAGGCCTGATTAAGTACATCATAGTACAGTCAGTACCTCCTGCCCTTTATTTGTCAGGAAACTGTATTCCCTCGCTCTTTGGTAGTCACCAACAGAACACATGGTAGACATGCCATAAAACTTAAATAACCCTTTGTTCTGCCAGAGGTCAGCAGTACCATGTATCCCATTAAGAACAGCACTCAACTTACACATGTAACTATTAAATTTATCAACTATTATGACTCTGATGATGAAATTTCAGTCAAGTTGGAAACCACATAAAGGTTTAATGCTAGCCTCTAGCAACAAGTATCTAAGGTGGGACAATAACAAAGTGGGAGAAAATTCATTTTACCAAGTAGCTGTCCCCAACAAGAGATATCTTATTCTAAAATGTCCAGGCTTGCTATAAATGAGTCTGCAGGGAATCCTCTAATTTGGAACAAAACCACATTATCATTACCAGTTGCTCTGACCTTGTAATTGGTCATTACCCACAAACTAATGAGCCTCCCACAGAGTACACACAGCACTTGGCGGTTAGTCCAGGGCAGTTCTGACTGGCAGTGGGCAGCAAAATCTGGCCACCTCTTACCTTTTCAGACTTGATTTTCTTTAGCGGGCGACACTCATTCTCCCCTTCCTCTGGCTCCGGTTTAGCTCCCAAAGGATTGAGCGCTGCCCCAGGCTCAATAGCTATACTCCCAAGTGGCTCCACAGCTCCTGTATCCACCCCTGTACTTCCATCATACTGACCACCCCGTCCTCCCAAGGCAACTGGCTGGAGGACCCCAGGATCCTTTTCTGAGCAAGTCCCCACTCCTTCACTTCTCTCCTTCTTGCTCTTAGATGAGCTGTTCTCCTTCTCCTTTTTGGAGCCAGCTACACTGCGGGATGCCTTAGCCGCCTTCTCTGAGCCCTTGGGAGCAATAGCAGCAACCAGGCCTCCTGCATTGGCACCATCTCCTGAGCGTCCCTGTACCTCTTTCTTGCTAGCTGCCCCCTCACTTGGAGTGAACAAGGAAGTCCCTGGAGTGGGTTTGCTAGTGTCTTTGCCACTCTTATTCCTTTTGGATTTTGATTTGCCTTCTTTCCCTTGAGGACCTGGCACTGGGGTCACAAACTTGATGTTGTCTGGTAGTGTGGCCACAGCATTGGGAGCCGGAATCCCCACCTCCTTTGAGCCTGACATTTCCAGTTTCTGCTGGTCCTTTTCCAGATCGGCGTCCAGATCAATGATGAGATTCCCTACTCCAATGTCCCATTCATCCCCACTGTCGTATGTCTCAACCGGGTTTGCATCCACTCCTTTCCCTCCGGAGGCTCCACTGCTCAAGGACATCTTAGAGTCAACGTCCCACCTCAAGATTCAAGGCTCTTCCTTGCCCCCAGCTTTCCTATTTTCAGCTTCAGCTATGTTCTCACACCTGCCACCTTGGTCAGTACATGCCCAGTGGACAACATCATTGCTGGAAAAAGAAAATTTAAAAAGCTGTTAAAGGAAACAATACAGGCAAGGAGACAGCCTGAAATAAAACTCCCACACAAAACAGATCTTTCCTTTATGGCTATCACATCACAGTGGATAAGACAAACAGGTTTAATTTTATTTCTAACAAAGTCACACTGGACCTAGAGAAAAGTTAATTCCCATTTCATCTCCCCAGGGGAGAGTACAATAGTTCCAACTGCCCAGAGATTCTGTGGTGAGTCTTAACTAGCAGTCCTCTACAGTTAGTTTCCCCTTCCCAAAAAACTTAGTTCTATTATCACTACCAGCTGGCTATCCTTTCCCCATCAGTACAGGCCCTGGCATATCAAGCATTCGCACAACTTTACTCATACTTTCTCCCTCCTTCTTGAGACTCGGAACATGATCTAGCATAAGTTTAACAGTTCTAGTAATAGAGCCAATCCCTACCAAAAATAGTAGATTCCTTATCATTCTACTATTGAGGAGAAAAGTTTTATTGTGGATAAGTTAGAGAGAAAAGCAGGGCTGGAGTGGCTCAATCAAGTGCCTGCTGAACAAGCACGAGACCCTGAGTTTAAACCCCAGTACCTCAGAGAGAGAGAGAGAGAGAGAGAGAGAGAGAGAGAGAGAGAGAGAGATAAAGAAGGCAGAACTGGTAAAAATGCAACTTCAGGACTGGGGCAAAGGCTGCAACTAGAGGAAACAATTCTCAGAAAGAACTCAACCTATCACTTAAGTCCAGAGAAGTTACGTCAGCCTTATCAAATTCCTGGTTATAAATCAAAAGAAGGGTTCAATGTGGCCTGATTTCTCAGTAAAACTTCTAGTGACAAAGAAAAAGAGAATAATGTTTATCCTATCAAAAACTGGACACTACAAAAACCTACCACCAGGATGTAGGAAAATTCTCTACTTTCTTATGTAAGATTGATGGTACTGTACTGATATACACCAAGGCTTCACACCACATGAACTAGAGATTGGCTTAAAAAGGGGGTAAGGGATTATTAAAAGGGTAATTTGTATCTTTCCACTATCTCCTGACTAGTCCAGACCTGGGGACTGTACCATCTAGAAAACCTGGCAGTAAACATTTGGCATCCAGATATTACTTTAAGATAAAGTCAAAGAGTTTTGTTCTTACTTATTCCTCTGTGTACCACCTTTCTCCATCCACTGAGAAAATAACTTTTATAAGGTAACTAAGTAGAAAGAGCAAGCCAGTGGTTTCACAATACATCCTGTAAAATGGCTATATAACAGGTAAATGCTACAGATAGGACAGACAAGACAAACTATGCTTTTTTCACCTACTCCTTCAGAACAGTGTCAACAAACCAGAGTGCCTGGGCAAGAAAGATGTCATCCTAGAAGAACAGTGGTAATCAGATGAATGCCTTGCTAGCAACTGGGATTTAACAGAGCAAGTTTTACATATTAATATGCCAATTAGCTATAGGTCTGAGAAGAAACTATATCCACTACCAAAGTAAAAAGCTTACTCTTGATAGCAATCAATTACTGTTCATTAGCAAATGTCAAATCTACCTAGATTTTACTTTATACAGGATGAGCAACAGTGAGGAAAAAAAACAAGATGTAAGAACTATGGAAAAAAGCCAAAAACATTAACCACAAAGGTAAAGGAAATATAATTCCCGAACAGTTAAGAGATGATACTTTTGAAAATGGCAGAACTGGGATTAAAGCTCAGGGCTTCATGCTTGCTAGGGAGGTACTCTAATGCTTGAGCCACTCCTAAGATTCTAGCCAGCCCTAGAATCTTAAAACAAGTATTTTTGCAGTTCTGGGGTTTAAACTCAGAGCCTACACCTTGAGCCACTCCACCAGCCCTTTTTCGTGAAAGTTTTTTCAAGATAAGGTCTCGAGAACTATTTGCCCAGTCTGACTTCAAACTGTGATCCTCCTGATCTTTGCCTCCCGAGTAGCAAGGATTACAGGCATAAGCCACAGGCACCCGGCTTTAAAAACAAAACAAAACAAAACAAAAAACCCAAACAAAAACCAAAAACAACAACAAACAATTTTTGTTAACTGCTTGGAATTCTCAATTAGAAGACAAGCAGACTTGGCCTCCATAAAAGAGTAGTATAGTAGATATGTGTTCATTCCTTTGAATTGCTAAGAAGACAGCAACCAACACAACAGTGAATAAGGCAGTGGAACATGATATTGAAAATAATTCTGACACTTCTAGAAAGGGATTGCTAAACTGAATCCCCACTATCAAATTTGTAATTTATCACCCCTGCAATTTCTGCAATTGTGGCTAGGTTTAGTGTATAATCCACATTAATTTAAGGTTTACCAACTATCCTCCAGAGTTGCACTAACATCAGTGTGTATTAGTCACCAAAATGACCCATGTTTTCTCCTTGGAAAAAATAAAACTTTCTTTAGACTTTCCTCTAGAAAGTAGGATGGTAATGAATACTGGAGGAGTATGTAAAGGAAAAAATAAACATAAAAATAATGTTATTGGGAAGGGGGGAGGGTGAACGAAGGAGATTAAGATGAGGGAATATGGTTGATGGCCTTCATATATGAAAAAGAACATATATGCCTTAAATGGGGCGGGGAGGGGTTGAAGTGAAGAGATGGTGGGGGTGATCTAACCAATGTACAATGTAAGCTTGTTTGGAATTGAAAGGATGAATCCCCCTGTACAACAAATATATCCTAATTTTTAAAAAAATTATGTTGCCCACTAGAGCTTCTTATAGTTCTCATTCCACTATACTGGCTGATAGGACAGGATAAACAAAGTATGCCAATAAGAAAGAGGAGGATTAAGAAAGTAACAGGCTAGGGGAAGAGGGTGGGGGAGGAGGGGGGGCAGGGGGGAGAAATGACCCAAACAATGTATACACGTGAATAAAAGAATAATAATAAAAAAAAGGCAACAGGCTGAAAAAAAAAGTTACAACTTACTTGAAAAAACAAAAGGATCTAACATTAAAAACAAAACAAAACAAAACCAGAGGGTAATATGGTGTATGTGTGTGGGTGTGAGGGGGGCTGAGGATATAATTTAGTGGTAAAATGCTTGCTTAGCATGCCCCAGGCCCCAGGTTCAATCCTTAGTACCACAAAAGGGTGTGTGTGTGTAGGGAAGGTGTAAATAAACAATGCAGGATCAATTAAAATTTATACAGGAATCAGAAAGCCACAGAAATGAAACTGTGAAAAATGTATCAGTGAAATACAAAAGAACCTCAAGTTATTTTCCAGAATATAAAGGAAATGGACAGTAAAGAGAAAATAATGAAGAAAACTGAGAGAAAGCATTTACCACCACTGAAAGAAAATGAAAGAAGGAGGTGACCAGGAAGTAGTGAAGAGGTATGGTAGCAATGAATCAATTTGGGTTGTAATACACATGTGCATGAAAGCAATGCTAGGAATCTCTGCATAGCTATCCTTATCTCAAACTAGCAAAAACACTATGTCTTTCTTATTATTGCTTATGTCTACTCTTCAACAAAATTGGAGAAGAGGATAGAACAGGTTCTGCCTGGAAGCGAGAGGGTAGGGGAGAGAAGGCGGGGCAAGGGGGAGAAATAGCCAAACAATGTATGCACATATGAATAAATGAATAAAGAAAGAAAAAGAAAATGAAAGAAGAGATGAGAACAAAATGGGAGAAAAGCAACCTATCATCAAAGGCTAACATGTGAACAACATCTTGAGCAGAATAAAGACCTTACATGCAGACTGGAAACATTCACTTCATTTTCAGCAAAATCAATTTACTTTTTTTTTTTTTTTCTTTTTGAGACAGGGTCTTGCTGTGTTGCTCAAGCTGGTCTCAAACTCAAGTGATCCTCCCACCTCAGGCTTGAGAACAGCAGGATTACAGGCATGCACCACCATATCTGACTTTGCAAAATCAATTTAAAAAACCAAATTTACACATTCTAGCAAAAATTTTCAGCTACAAAGGACAAAAATTGAGTCAACCTTAAATTACATTGCAATATTAAATGTTAAATGAGAATGAAAAACTATGGAATTTCAAAGAAAAAAGGTTGCTAGTCAGGAATCTTAAACTGAGCCAAGGTGTCATGTATAAAAACAATATATTTCAGTTATGTAAGACACAAACATATCTTGTTAAAAATTACCTGGTATACTAACATCAGTTCAATCCTGCATAAATGTAAACAATTCTTATAAATACAAATATCACATGAATTCTGTAATCTTTTTTTGTGTGTGTGGTACTTGGGCTTGAACTAGTGCCTTCAGTCACTCCACCAACCTGGAATGGCTTTAAACCGAAATCCTCCTCATCTCGCCTTCTGAGTAGCCAGGATTACATTACAGGTGTGAGCCACCAGTGCCTGGCCAAGAAATGGACAAACAAACCAATTTAGGGTTTTTTTTTTTCCCCTTCAAGGTACTGGGGCTTGAACTCAGGGTCTACACTCTGAGCCACTCCAAAAGTCCTTTTTTGTATTTTTTTTTTTCAATAGGGTCTCACAAACTATTTGCCTGGACTGGCCTCAAACCTCCATATTCCTGATCTTTGCTTCATGAGTAATTAGTATTACAGGCGTGAGCGAGCCCAGGTTAGAAAACCCTCTTAACGGGGCCCCTATTTTTTTAACCTATACATTGTAACTCTGTGATTCTAGCACCCCACTAAAAGAATTCAGTACATATGTAACCAATGATGGGACAATTTCATATGTTTAAAATTTTAAAGATATAATGTAATTTTTCTTGTATTACGTACTGATGAGCCTGAGTTACAATTTTTCTAGGGCTTAATGATTTTTATAATTTCTTTACTCATAATACTGGGGTTTGAACTCGGGACCTTGCACTTGTTAGGCAGGTACTCTATCACATGAGCCACTCCCAAGTGTTTTTGGTTTGTTGTTTTTTTTTTTTGGCAGTACTGAGGTTTGAACTCAGGGCCTCACACTTACTAGACAGGCGCTTTACCAATTGAACCACTCTGCCAGTCCTGAATTTTTCACTCTTTAGAAAAAGATGTGAGGCATAATCAACTCTTTATAATAATGTTGAAGCTCAAAAAGTTTAGCCTTTATTCCAAGAAGGAAAGACAAATGATAATTTATAAAGCTGACACTTCCTCAAACTCTTCTTGTTCAAATTCCATATGCCATGGCAAACTGTTTTTTATTTTTTTCCTAGTAAGCAAATAATATTGCCAATACATCTTTTTTTAAAACTGTGCTTCTTCTGAACACAACACTTGATGGTCTGTGCTCATTTCCAGCATCCATATTTTTTTTTCATTTTTCTTTTATTATTCATATGTGCATACAAGGCTTGGTTTATTTCTCCCCCCTGCCCCACCCCCTCCCTTACCACCCACTCCACCCCCTCCTTCTCCCCCCCCTCAATACCCAGCAGAAACTATTTTGCCCTTATCTCTAATTTTGTTGTAGAGAGAGTATAAGCAATAATAGGAAGGAACAAGGGTTTTTGCTGGTTGAGATAAGGATAGCTATACAGGGCATTGACTCACATTGATTTCCTGTGCGTGGGTGTTACCTTCTAGGTTAATTCTTTTTGATCTAACCTTTTCTCTAGTACCTGTTCCCCTTTTCCTATTGGCCTCAGTTGCTTTTAAGGTATCTGCTTTAGTTTCTCTGCGTTAAGGGCAACAAATGCTAGCTAGTTTTTTAGGTGTCTTACCTATCCTCACCCCTCCCTTGTGTGCTCTTGCTTTTATCATGTGCTCATAGTCCAATCCCCTTGTTGTGTTTGCCCTTGATCTAATGTCCACATATGAGGGAGAACATACGATTTTTGGTCTTTTGGGCCAGGCTAACCTCACTCAGAATGATGTTCTCCAATTCCATCCATTTACCAGCGAATGATAACATTTCGTTCTTCTTCATGGCTGCATAAAATTCCATTGTGTATAGATACCACATTTTCTTAATCCATTTGTCAGTGCTGGGGCATCTTGGCTGTTTCCATAACTTGGCTATTGTGAATAGTGCCGCAATAAACATGGATGTGCAGGTGCCTCTGGAGTAACAGTCTTTTGGGTATATCCCCAAGAGTGGTATCCAGCATCCATATTTTAAGTGAGAAATTTACTCAAGTAGGATGTCCTAGAGAAAGAATGAAGACTGAAGATGGGCTGGTTAGCTGAAGATGGGCTGGTTAGCTTTAAATATATTATGGCTTCAATGTGGAAGAGAGAAAATTATTCTGAGATGGTGAGGGTAGAAGGATCAGTGTGTGTAGAAGTTACAAAATAACAGAAGTTTAACTCAGAAAATTAATAACCTGAGACTTCCAAGAATGACCCACATTATTTAATAAAGCCGTGTCTATCACTGAAAGTATTTCAACACAAAAAGCAAAATCATTTGTCAAATAAATACAGAAACCGGGAGCTAGTGACTCATACCAGTGAGATTGGGAGGACTGCTGTTCAAGGCCAGCCTTGGCAAACAGTTCATGAGACCCCATTTCCAAAACTAACCAGAACAAAATAGATGTGGCATAAGCGGTAGGATGTCTGTTTTGCAAAAGCCTGACCTGCAAGTGCAAAGCCCTGAGTTCAAACACCAGTCCCACCAAAAATAAATACAGAAAAGATCCCTGTGTGTGCGGCAGGGTTAGGATCTTTTTTAGATCTCGAATTCTATCAATGTACCTATCAAAAAGTTCTTTTCCTACTAGAAAACTACTTAGAATTTCTGAACGTCCAGGATGCAAACAAAGAAAATATATCCTGAGGACTGATCTCTAGTGTTGATGTCCTTTTAGAGTTCTTGTCCTCCTAGTTTTGAGAATAAAGAATTTTCTTAAGTGTTGACTTTTTAGAATCCAAACTCAGCAGGTTTCAAATAAACTTTGGTGGTACATTTCAAAAGATATACTGTAAAATGGCCAAGGATTCTTTAATCAACCTGGCTATGTCAGCCAAACCACTTCCCATCTGTTCCCTACAGCATCCCTGGCTTTATACAACTAAAAATCAACTCTCTGACAGGTCACTGAAGAAAGATTCAACCTCAGGAGGGAGGATAACTAACCATGCTAGCTGGAAACGAAAAGCAGTCATCTCCTGCTTCCACAGCTGAGAAACTGCAGAACGAAGATAAACAATACCTTATGGAGACTGTCACAGGGCATGTATAATTTGCAAGAACTCCTCTGAATATTTTCCTCTTTCTTCTCTAACTGTACTACACTTTCTTATTTAGGACTGCCAGTCACCAGACTCTGGAATCACTTGTCCAGTATGACTTGTCAGTACTATTTGTGCTTTGTTCTAGCACCTCAACACAAAGAGACACCTCTCTGTGTGGATATGGATAAGTGACCAAGACAGATCATGACAATCACGTTCCATACTCTACATTTACTCATGAACATGAATATGTTCAAAAGTAGAACATTATAACAAATGAAGTTTAGATCCTAGTTCCCAATTTGGAAACCAAACCCAGCTCTTAAGACTGTCATCCCACAGAGTGATGTATTTATAAATGACACGTTTCAGGACATTAATTGCTGTTTTGAGGGCATCTGTCATAGCACTTCTCTACTTCAGGAATCAACAATTCCTCTTTTAGAAGGCTAAGTGAAAAAAGGAGTTTTCTGCCCCTATCCAAAGGGCAAAATAAACCACTGGGCCCTACTTATCTCCAAGCATAACTAGAAAAACAGTCCTAGCCAGAGGCTGGTGGTTCACACCTGTAATCCTAGCTACTCAGGAGGCAGAGATCTGGAGAATCACAGTTCTAAGCCAGCCCCAGGGGAAATAGTTTTTAGACCCTATCTTAAAAAAAAAAAAAAAAAAACCCTAGTAATGTTAAAAAAGAATGAAAAACAATCTTTCTCTTTCCACCCAGATACAGCTCTATATCTACCCTAGAGGGAATCAAAGAGAAGACTCTTTTAATTCGTAACTACCCACTGACAATACAGTCTAAGTAGCAAATATACTGTGCAATGCTGTTCTACTGTAAGTTGTCTGACTTCTCTTCTTATGGGTTCTGAACGCATCTTTTTATATGTGTTGATCTATGCAAATGACAACTGTGTCTAAGTATATATAATCTGCTAGGAAAACTCAGGTCACGCACATAAAATATGGATGTCAGGGCTATTTGAGTAGGTATACCTCTTCAAAAGCTGCATGCCAAAGAAAAAAATGTACTCAATTCTGAGAAGGTTAACATGGTACTGTAAAAAAATTTCTACTAACATTAATCAAGTTAATTATTATTACATTATTATTATTACATTATTTATTAAATATTAATCTCATTATAAAGTGGAGGAAGAATTCACCATGTTTTAAGCTTATTCTGAGAATACAAAACTGAAAAAGGTAAGATAACTCAAAAATACAACTGATCCAGATACTCTTTATAAAACTGAACTTAAGAGGGCTATTTCACATTTATACCTTTTACAGACCATCTATAATAATTAGGTTTAAAAAAGTTAATTTTTTAAAATAACAAATTATAAGCTGTACTGATACTCATATGAGTTCTATGAAAAAAATGGCAATCCTTTTATCTATGAACTCTATCTGGGTTTTCCCTTTAAGACAATTTCTACCTTCAGATGTGGCTCATAAGATCTTACACTGTAGTGACTGACAGATATTTCCACCTTATTTCAAAAATGTCTCTGTGCTGAGCTGGAGGTATAGCTAAGTAACAGAATGTTTGCCTAGCATGCACAAGGCCCTGGGTTCATTCCTAGCAACACACACACACACACACACACACACACACACACACACACACACTCACTCACACACACACTCTCTCTCTCTCTCTCTCTCTCAAGGCTCATAGTTTTACATCTGGACTATGTCTCTTAACTGTTCCAGTCCACTAGACTGCTGATTCCACTGACAGGTCAGACCTTCAAATCTAAATTGTGTTAAGTTCAACAGGGGTTTGATGCCCCAGAGAACTGTTAACAAACCAATGGGATACACAAAAGTTGCTGAGAGGGGAACATTATATTATCTTCCCTGAATTCCAGATGCTGGCCTGAAACCACTTCTTACTTAGGTAGCTTTAGGTGAGGGCAGTACACACGTAAACCATCTTCAGTGACTCTGAGCTTACCCAGATGGAAGAACAGGCATCTTCCTCTCCACCTGACAGACACACTTCATGAAAACTAACTGATCAACTGAATTTCCATCTAAGACTCTAACAAGAAACAATTAACTTCCCTGTGGGCCTCCTCCTTAATTTATTATATTAATTACTGTAACAAAGGAACTATGTGTTCTCCTCAAGTACCACAGCTCTCTGCCTATATCAGCAATGGAGATTAGATAAAGAACACACTGTGCTAATTCAACAGGGCTCATCTGAC